GACCCTGTCTGAAAAAAGAGGGTGTGCTGGGAATGTAGCTGAGTGTCATGAGGCACTAGGTTTTAATCCCCAGTACCAAACACACACATACACACATACACACACACACACACACACACACACACACACACACACACCCCAAGCTTCCCCAGGGCTCTGTGTGTATAGCTCAGTGGTAGCCATGTGTGTTTAGCATGCACAAAGCCCTAGGTTCCATCTGTAGCACTTCCTACCCCGCTTTGTCCCCTTCAAAAAGCTTCCCTATTTCCTTCAGGCTCAGGGAAAGAAGCATTGCTTTCAGGAACAGCTCTAGCTGCACAGTCCCTGAGCCCTGTCTTGGTGGTAGGTACCCTAAATTTTCAGGTTGTTCACTTTTAGAAGAGCCAGGCTGGGTGAGACATGAGACTGCACCACTTGCAGCAGCAAAAGGCCTCCCGTGCTGGTGGCCTTCCATTGCCCTGGTAGGATCACACCTTCCTGAGCCGGTGTTGAGGCAGCCATACCCACATCCACAGCAGGACAAACCTCTTCCTCCATTGTGTTCTGTGGAGGGAGTCCTCAAAATATGCAAATACACAGAGTACTGGATAAGCCACAAAGTCCTTGTCCTGCAATGACCAGCACAATGTCCTGAAATGCTGCTGTCCAGTGTCCAGATAGATGTCCACCTAAACCTAAACTCTGGAAATCCAGCCCACGCTGCCTGGAAGGTCCTGGCCCTTTTAACCCCTACTGCTTTCCATCCAAACTCAAGTTCCTTAGCTCTAGCCTTCTCAAATCCTGAATGGTTTCACCCAGCAAATTTCCCCTACTGCCTGCTTTTGGCAGAAATTTAGGGGGAGGCAAAGAGAGGGGGTGGATAATACACACTTACCCTTCAGGGCTTCCAATACTCTGGGCCTTGGAGGGCTGGAGTCCTGTGGGAGCCATGACTTGGAGGGATTCAAGTGACTTTCCAGAGATAGGAGTGTGGGTAGCACATGGACAAGTGGACATGGAAAAGAACTACATTCCTAATAGTTCAGAGGTGAGAAAGTGCCCAGTACTTACAAGGATTTGTCCAGTTTTGCTAGAAAAATAATAGCTATCATTGCCAGAAGAAAATGTCTAAGCACATATTATATTGTACCTATGAAAAGGATTAAAACTATTGCATAATGTTTATGTGGATTTGAACAAACTGTTTACTCTTCTAGAATCTTAAACCCTTGCAAAGATCAAACTGGAAAGACAGGGTGGGGCCAAATTTTGAATGCCCCTGCATTCCAGACACAGGAGAGCCATTTCTTCTACAAACTTCACTTGTGTACCTGGTATGAGAATGGAAATATGAATTCAGCCTCCCTCCTTGACAGCAGCCCATCTGGATGGGGCCAGAGTGTTGGTCTGAGAGCCCTGGAGGAAGGATATCTTTGGAAAAAGCTTGGTAGCTCCAGATTCGTGGTGAAGTGGAGGATCTGTTTCTTTTAAATAGTGCCAGGAAAAATACAACAAAACAAAACAAAAGCCAGTCAGCCTGTAGAAAGAGGAGGGCAGCACGAGAAGATTCCTGTAATTCTGTATCCACCATATAGGCCCAGCTACAGACCAAAAGAAATATATTCAGAATGTATATGCTACTAGGCATTTAATCAAAATATAGAGATTGAGATGGCTGAAGTTGGAGTTAGTGGCAGGGGGCAGGGTCAAGGGAAGGCAAAGCAAGGGTGCTACTCTGTACAACATTAAACAATATACCTACATATTGGGCATAGTAGTGTACACCTGTAATCCCAGCACACTGGGAGGCTGAGGCAGGACGATTTTAAGTTCTAGTTCAGCCTGGGCAATTTAGGAACTTAGCAAGATTCTGTCTCAAAATAAAAAATAAAAAAGGGCTGAAGATGTAGTTCAGCGTGAAGGCCCTGAGTTCAATCCACAGTACTGGGGAAAAAAAGATATTGCTTATGGTTCATGAATCAAAAATGGAAAGTCTAAGTTTGCTTCTTAAATTACCAAGACGACTAACAGGAACTTCAGGTACATAAATAATTATGTTGGAAAGGTGTAGGCAAGGGAGGTGAACTGTGGTTTAAGAGGCTTAATTCTGTGGTTCAGGACTCAAGAGGTAACATCTAGGACATCAGGCATAGGACAAAGACAGACAGTTATCAGCTTGGGGATAAGGATCAGGTGAAAATGTGAAACAAGGTAAGAATTTATCCTGTCTGGGCAGTGCAGATGATCAGAAATGGAGGGGAAAAGGCAGAAATATGCTGTCTATAATCCCCATACGTGTAATTCTGCTTGAGAAGTCCATATTTACTATTCTTTAGGTAGTGGGAGCCAGTGAATGAGTTAGTTCTTTGGCCAACAACAAGATTGTGTTGATATTAAAAAGGAATTTATGGGCTGGGTGTGTTGCTCAGTGCTAAAGTGCTGACTGGTAAGATGGTAGAGGTGTTTGACTTAGAATACAATACAGTTTGAAAGATACAAGGAATAAACAGGGAAGCTTGCCTTTGCTCCCATCTCCCATTCTCCACATTTTCCAGAGATAATCATGGTTCCATCTTGCCTATACCTTTATTGATTTACCTCCGGAATTGCTCTGTATCAGCAATGACTTTTTTTTTTTTTCCCTTGCAATTTCAGGGATCTTGAACGCAGGAACTTGTGCTTGCAAGGCAGCGATAACTTTTTTTTCTTGGTTGGTTTTAATGGCTGAACCATGTCTATATATGGATGTAGGAACAATAAATGACAGGTCTGTTTCCACATAGCTTCTCTAACTGGGTATCATTAAACTTTTGGATTTGGTCATAGGTGAGCAATGGTATCTCAGTCAAGTTTTAAATTATATTTCTTTTATGCATGATGTTGAGAAACTTTTCAGATAATTAAGAAGTATTTCCTTTTGCTGGAAGCTGAGATTTCTATTTTTGCTCACTTATATTAAGTAGTCCCTTATTGAGTGGTAGGAGCTCTTTATTAGATCAACTAGTCCTTTGACTATAGTTGTAAATATTTTCTTCTAGTTTGTCATTTGTCTTTGCTTACTAGTCTTTGCCACACATCTAGCTTTTGTTTTTCCTGGTACTGGGGATTGAACCCAGGGCCTTCACACTGAGTTATCTCCCCAGCCCCCCTTTTTGTTTTTATTTGGGACAGGCTCATGCTAAGTCACTAAGTTGCACGGGTGAGGCTTAAACTTGCAAGCCTCCTGCTTTAGCCTCCCAGAGTGTTGGGATTATAAGTGTGGGCTACCATATCAGGATTGATGAATATAACATTTAAAAAAGGGGCCGGGGATTTAGCTCAGTGGTTTGGTGGCCTGCCTTGCAAGCGCAAGGACCCGAGTTCAATTCCCGGTACCAAAAAAAAAAAGAAACTCCAGGGGTGATGGAAATATTGTCTTTGAGCCGGGCATGGTGGCGCATGCCTGTAATCCCAGCACTCGGGAGGCTGAGGCAGGAGGATCACTGTGAGTTTGAGACCAACCTGGGCTACATAGCGAGTTCCAGGTCAGTCTCAACTACATAGTGAGACCCTATCTCAAAAAACAAAACAAAAACAAAAAATAACATTAAAAAAAATAGTTTTGAGACAAGGTCTTACTCTGTAATTCAAGCTGGCCTTAAACTCATTGTGTAGCCCAATGTGTTGGTCTCCAACTTGTGGCAAGCCTCCTGCCTCAATCTTGTGAGTGCTGGGGATTACAGGTGTGCACCACCACACCTGGAAACACTTTAATTTTATTTATTTATTTATTTGAGACAAAGTCTCACTACATTGTTCAGTCTGGTCTTGAACTCACTAAGTAACCCAGGCTGGCCTCAAACTCATGGCAATACTCCTGCCTCAGCCTCTGGAGTGCCTGGATCACAGGTGTGCACCACCATGCCTGGCTAATTTTTACTATAGACAAATCTGTCAATCTTTTCGTTTAGGGCTTCTAGAGTTTGTGTAATCACTCAGAAAGCCCTAGTGGCAATCACAGACAAAAATTCTCCTTTCTCCTATAGACTTTTGGGATTTCTCTTTCTTAGAGCAAATCATTTATTCACCCATCCAGAATCCATGAGTTCGTATTTTTAACATGAAGTGTGTACACTTTTTTTTTTTTCCAGCTGCATTGTGAGGCTTTTTTGAGGAGAGGATAGTGTCAAGACAATGAGCAGGGCAGTAAAAAGAAGGTCCCTATCTAGAGTAGAGAAATTGAAGGTGCCATAGACCGGAAGTGTTCCAGATCATCCAGGGAAGGGTCACCCGCCTGGGTCTGAACCAGGGCTGGGCAGCAGGAAAACTGAGAACTTGGAGATAAAACCCATAGGATTCAGTTACTGGTTCACAGCGGGGAAGCAAAAGAAGTAAGATGCCTGTTTCCTGATGTTTCCTCTGTGATGCTGTAAATGGTAGAGAGGGGATTCTTAGGGGTTCTGTCACTCAATCCTAAACTCTCATCACCTGGTTGGAGGCACGGAGGGATTCTCACCACCAACAGAGGAAGCCAGACTTTCAAACCTTCCGTGCCTTCAGGGTCTCTTTGGTCTAGCCCTCCCCTCCAGCCTGGCCGCTTCCCGCACCCAAGCAAGACAGCCTCCAAGTCCCAGCCCACCGCGGTCAAGTTGGAGTGACCCCAGACCACAGCTGAGTTCACACGAGAGCAGCGGCCAGCAACAGGAGGACTCTTGGATTGGCTCACAACCCTGGCCCCGCAGTGACCCGAGATTGGGAGACTTTAAGGTCAGAGAATAAAAAACAGCCTCAAAGGATGTATCCCGCCCCGGAACTGAGTGACTGGCCAGGGGGCGGGGCCGTCCGCTGAGGCGTGGGTCCGTGATCAGGCTGGGCTGTACCAAGAGCTCGAGTTCGCAGGGGGAATCAAAGTGGCAGACTCGTCTCCAGAACGTACGTGCGGCTGGACGGCGGCCGCGACGGCCACGCCCACCCCCCTGCGAACTTGCGGGCAGTGGTTGGCACCTCAGTGGAGAGGCCTGCGTTCTGCCCAGGTGAGACAGAGAGCTGTGTGTCTCCCGCGGTGAGTGAACTCTATGGGTTCGCTGGGTGGGTGAGGTACGGCCCTCGGGGTCCCCTGGACGCTTCTGTCCAAGCAGCCGCTGGTTCTTGGCGTTGGGAAAGATTCTCAGACCCGGTTGCGGCGTATCTCACCGAAAGCTCGCGCGGAAGGCGCGGTTTCCCCCTCAGCCCTCACGGGGCTGCCCTTCCCCTGAAATTAATTTCTGGCTGCAGCCGGAGGGTCGTTGTTTCTACCTCCCCGGGCCGAGCGAGCCCGACAGGCCCGTCTCCCGAGAGTCGAATCTTGGCGACTGAGGGCCCAGGCTCCAGTCGTAGAGTTCCGCCCTTTGTGTTAAGCCACTTTAAGTCTTCGGTCCTCAGTTTCCCCATCTATGCTATGGGACTCGGGAAGCAGCGAATTACAGAGATCACTCATGCGGTATGCGCACAGTGAGTGCGGATGGGACCCGAATCTGTGCTGCATCAGGTGGGCTGAATCGAGGGCTTCTGGGCATCGCCCTGACTGCATCCCTAAGGCGGTGTCCCTTCAGGCGGGTGCCGCTGCGACACACCTTTGCCTCCCCTGGGCAGCCGTGACACCCTTGGCTCCTGGGAGCAGATGGGTAAAAGGTTGAGGTGTGTTAGGCGGTGGAATGGGGTGGGGGACCGATGAGGGTGGATTTCTGGATTACTTGACCTCAACCTTTTGCTTTTCATCTCTCAAGACGAGCCATGATTGTGTAAGCTAGTGGCCATTATTGGGGAGTTTGGGTTCGTTTCCATGAAAACTTCTCCTCTTTTAGACCCATAAAACTGCAGTCTTCTCTTTGAATCTGACCAAGCCAGAGGATAATGCCAGCAGAAAGGGAGGCTAGATTGGCGCTGAGGAGTCTCAGGTTTGAATCTTAGCACCTTGATAGGATGCATAACTTCTTGGAGCCTCTGCTTTGTTGTCAGTGACACAGACTGCTGCCTGCACAGAGTTGAGGTTTTAAGGATCAAGACAGGGTTTCAGAGAGTGGTATTGAGATTGTGAAGTTTTTTTGTAAGCAGAGCAGCTATCTAACTCTCTGAGACCTGGTGTCCTCTCTACAATGCTGTAATTCTTATTCCCTGTCTGCAGTGAAGGCCAAGGATCATTAAAACACTCCTAAAGTTAATCCCCCTAAAGTAGTGGTGTTTGCTTGGAAAATCAGGCCAGCATGACCCAGCTAGTAAACGGGGAACCCAGAAAGATCCACTTTCTTTTTCTTAGGAACCCTCTAAGGATTGTCTTATTTTTCTTTTGAAAGAGTAGTTGTTGACTTTCATATCCTTTGATAATGGGAATAGGGTTCCTGGAACAGATAGCTTATTGTCAAAAGTGACCCCCCAAAACAGGCCTGCATTTGAGAGAATGCAATATTAACGTCTAGTGATAGTGTTTCAGTAGCCTTAACTCCCTTAAATTCTTGACATCTTGAGAGGGAGACAGGGAAAGAAAGAGAGAGGGCAAGAAGGAGAGAAAAACAATCGGGCCAGGCATTGTGGCATGTGCCTGTAATCCCAGCACATGGGAGACTGGGGTAGGAGGATCGCCATGAGTTTGAGGTCAGCCTGCACTACATAGTGAGTTCAAGGCCAGCCTGAATTAGAGTGAGACCCTGTCTCAAAAACAAGAAATAATTGGAATTATGCATTCTGAGTATGCATTCTGGAATGAAACAAATCCCAGGAATTTGGCGCTTGGAAAGATGAATACACCTGGGTAGTAGTTTTTTAGCAACCCTGAGATGTGTGTGTTACCTGATAAGCCTGAAATTTTAGGACCTGCCATTGCCTCTTGGTTGATGCTCCCTTTAACCCCCTGAAAAAAATCACGATCCAGATTAGAAAAGTTAACATATATTTAGGAGATTGACATTAGAATTACTTGGCAAGTCCAGAATATTTACTTGTTAAACCCATGAATACTTCAAGTTAAAAAGAATCTAGCTCTTAAGAACTTTTTTTTTTTTTTTTTTTTTTTTTTTTTGAGACGAAGTCTCCCTATGCTGTTCAGGTTTGGCCTTGAACTTACTGTGTAGCTGGAGATGGCCTTAAGCCTGTGGCAATGCTCCTGCCTCTGTCTCCTGAGTGCTAGAATCACAGGTGGGCACCACTGCCCTCACCCAGGCTTTGGGGAGGAGTAGTGCTCTGGGTTGGGAAACAGAGAAACTGAGTACATATATATCATTGGTACACCCTCCCAGGCCTGTGTGCCCCAGTTGGGTGCTTTGGGATTTAACTTTTTAGTACAGGCTGCAGAGTCATTGTAAAATTAAAGGGTTGGAGGGGTGGCTTAGTGGTAGGGGTGCCTAGCATTTGGAAGACCTTGTTTGATCCCGAGTTCCCCAAATATAAAAAAATTAAAGTTAGAAAAAAATTACAATGGAGAAATGACTATTTGCCTAACAATGTTTTTGTTGAGAAAAAAATCAAGTGGTCATTACTTTGAAAACTATTTACAGAAATATACAGTATAGTATAAGCAACCTTTATAGCCTTACTTGAGACCACAAAGTGACACTAGTGATGTAGTTTATATCCCCAAATATTTTTCTTCATATACCAAAACTTTTATTGTTAAAATAATTTGTTTACTTTAAACAACAGGAATTTGTTACTACTTGAGTACTTAAACACAACTAATGATACCAGTCATATAGTTCTGAGGCTTGCTTTTTATTTCTTAATGTGGGTAGCTTTCAGAATATTTCACTATGTAAATAGCTATCTCGTTCTTATTTTAAACCTTTCAAGAAGAATTATTCTAGTCACCAGTATTGAAAATTATTTCAGTAACTAGTATCATGGGAGAAAGTTGTGTCGTTGGTTTTGTTTGTTTGTTTTTTGCTTTTGCTCTGCTGCAGTGAGTGGGATTATTTATTTTTGTGTACTTGGGCAAGTATTTTTGCATAGTGAATTGTTCGACATGGTAGAGTTAGAACAATGTATACAAGCTTTGAAGTGTGTTTATTTCACACATACTGACTACTTGCTTTGCAACGGGCTCTATTGAGGTGGCAGGGGTATATCAATGAAGAAAAGAGTCAAATCCCTCATGTATCTGACCTTCTACTGATGGGTAGAAGAGAAAAACCATACATAGCTTGTCAAATGATAACATCTGGGGAGAAAAATAACATGGATGATAATGCATGAGCAAGTGTTGTGACTTTAAATGTCACTAGAAGCTGGGCATGGCAACACACATCTGGGAGGCTGAGGCAGAGGATCGCAAATTCAATCCTAATCTGGGCAACTTAGTGGGAGTCTGCCTCCAACAATAACATAAAATAAAATAAAATGTAAAATAAAAGGCTGAGGGTGGAACTCCGTGTGAAAGCCCTGCGTTTAATTCCTAGTTCTCAGGGGGTGGGGTCACAAGATTTTACAAAACTTTCTCCGTTAATGTGAAACTCTCATCGGCAAGAATTTGTCATTTTAAAATTCAGAATTCGAAGGCCAATTGTAATGACAGTGGCTGATGGCAGATGTGTTTATATTTCAGGGAAAATTACGCCAGACTCTGTGCCAAGTTTGTATTATTTATATACACACGCAGACACACACAGTCTCAGAATGTTAAGTTCTTGTTATGAACCCAAAATGTTCACATCCCTTTGTCCCCCTCACTGCCCAGGAAGCCATCCCAGAGGTGGGCTCACAGGTCAAGGCTATTAATGAATTTTCTGACGATAGAGGACTCTTTTTTCTTTCTTTCTTTCTTTATGAAGGTGAAATCTCCTAATACATGTAATTACTTAAAGATGTAATTGAATCTCATGCCACAAAGCACAAGTAAATAATGTGCTTTGGGGCCGGGGTTTTAGCTCAGCGGTTTGGTGGCCTGCCTTGCATGCGCAAGGACCCCAGTTCCATCCCCGGTGCCAAAAAAAAAAAATGTGCTTTTGCTTGTTTGTTTAATTTTTTTAGAGACAGGGTCATGCTGTGTAGTTGAGGCTGACCTTGAAATCGCAATGTAGCCAGTCTGGGCTGTAGATCTCACAGTGATCCTCCTTCCCCAGCCTCCCAAGTGCTGGGATTGCAGGTGCTCAGGAGGCTGAGGCAAAAGGATGGAGAGTTTGAGGCCAGCTTGGGCAACACAGCAAGACCTGTCTCAAAAAAATCAAAATAATAAAAAGGGAACATAAATAGGTATCTTTTAGAGACAGAAATGCCAGTTCTTTTTTATTATTATTATTATTATTATCATTTTCTTTCCCAGGCTGTTGAACAGAGATTTTTTTAACTGTGGCTGTTCTGTTGTGTCACTTGCCAGAGATTTAGACTTGTTTGGTCAGGTAGGGAGAAGCAGTGGGCCAGAGGTGGCCCACTTATCTTATCGCAGAGCGGTTGGCCCACATCAGGCTTTGGTGTCTTTATAGGTGAAGTTGGGGGGACAGAATGAATTCCTGCTCCACCCTGCCTCCTGGAACAGCTCAGAAGATTGTTTTCATAGCACTTGATTCTCCCTTTTCTTCTTGGCAGGGTTGGGTCCCTGCGGCATGGCACTTGGAATGGTTTCTGATGCCAGTTGTTGTGGTGGTTCTGGTCATGCTGGGATGTATCAAGATTACAGCCCCTGGGCAGCCTGGTCCTTCTTGGTGACCTGGTGTTGGTGCTGGGTGACTTGGCTGAAGGTAGATCTATTAATTGCCCCTGACTTGGAGTGCAGAAGCCTTCTCCCTCCTTTGTATAGCATGTGTGGATGGCTAAGAGAGCTGTACACTGCTCTACAGAAACTACTCATTTTCAAGCATGTGCTTGAATGTAATGATGGGCCCAATAGGTGCCTTCAGCTATGGTCCTGTTCTTAAAGATTTGAGTTCCTTGGGAGACAGCCAGCCTGTGGTAGGAAAATGGAACAGGAGAAGTTGGCTTTCATCTGCCTGCCTGTAATACAAGGATGCTGGATAGAGTTTGTCCTGATGTGGGCAACTTACATAATTTGCTCCTGAGTGGAATTTGTAGCTGGTGTTTAGTTATTTTATGATAACT